AACAAGAGCGGTAGTATTTCTACTAAGGTAACATATTTGACAATTTTGATTGGAACAAGAGCGGTAGTATTTCTACTAAGGTAACATATTTGACAATTTTGATTGGAACAAGAGCGGTAGTATTTCTACTAAGGTAACATACTTGACAATTTTGATTGGAACAAGAAGTTTTGATAAAATTTCTCTATTACAATTATAATTGACCTTATTATTTTGTATTGTTCAGGGGTATTTAGTACATTTTATCTTATTATTTTACCAGGAACTACAGTACGCAATGAGGCGGGCTGGTCAGAACCCTACAGATGTTGAAGTTCAAGATATGATAAACAAGATTGATGATGGTAGTGGAACTCTGGACTTTAATGATTTTGTTCTGGTCATGGGAGATAAATGCAAGGTAAATTAAACCTTTCCCTTCTGATATAAATATACATGAATATGTAGCAAATATAATAGCAATCTCCATATTTGTTAACCTGAGCATACCTAGATAAACATGATTAAAATATGCATTGTGACTAGATTAACTATACGTTTATATCTATCCATGTTAATCTATATATAAATTTGGCTTGTCTGTCTGTCTGTTTGTTAACTACATTATATCTATTCTCACTAATCTTATAAATACGTAAATTAAACCCATTCAATGTATTTAGATATATATAACTCTGTCATACCCATATTATGATTGCTTAACTACATTATATATAACAGAGCCTAACTTGTAATTACACTGTTAAAGACCCAATTCTAATCTAAACTGAATAAATATACCTTAGTTGATACGGAAATTCCGATTTGATTACAGTGTTAAGAGAAATTTTGTTTCATTGAAACATAAGAATTGAGATTGTTACCTTGAATTTTGACTTGATTGATTGAATGCCATTGTCCGGTTGACATAGCTGACAAGATTGCGTCCCTTGGTAGTGGCGTTGATACTTCATGGGATTTTAGATATGTGGATTGTGTCCTGTTTGGGATATTGATCAAGTGATTGCTATTGTCCGGTTACCATTGGTAATGAGATTGTGCCCAGTGGTAGTGGCATTTGATAGTTTACAGGATTGTAGTCATGTGGATTGTGTCCTGTTTGGGACATTGATCAATTAACTGCTATTGTCCGGTTGACATAGCTAACAAAATCATGCCCAGTGGTAGCAGTGTTGATAGTTCACAGGATTGTAGTCGTGTGGATTGTGTCCTGTTTGGGACATTGATCAATTAACTGCTATTGTCCGGTTGACATAGCTAACAAAATCATGCCCAGTGGTAGATGTGTTGATAGTTCACAGGATTGTAGTCATGTGGATTGTGTCCTGTTTGGGATTTTGATCAAGTGATTGCTATTGTCCAGTTGACATAGCTAAGGAGATGTGCCCAGTGGGTTAACATTGATAGTCAAGAGAATCTGACTTGTACTTAGATACATAACTGTTCAAGACATTGTCTTGGAGTAGGCGTTTACTAAAAATATACTGTATATTCACACTATTACCCCCTGACTTATAATGTATATAAATATATTGTATATTGAGGAGATGGATAATGGAACCATTCCCCCTGGCATATTCATAAATGTATATTAAGCAGATGGATAATGAAAATATTCTCCCCTGGCTTATTGTACATAGATATACTTTATATTTATGAGATGGATAATATTCCCCCCTGACTTATTGTACATAAATATACTTTATATTTAGGAGATGGATAATGAAACTATTCCCCCCTGACATATTGTACATAAATATACTTTATATTTAGGAGATGGATAATGATACTATTCCCCCCTGACTTATTGTAAATAAATATACTTTATATTTAAGAGATGGATAATGAAACTATTCCCCCTGACTTATTGTACATAAATATACTTTATATTTAGGAGATGGATAATGAAACTATTCCCCCTTGACATATTGTACATAAATATACTTTATATTAAGGGATGGATAATGATACTATTCCCCCCTGACTTATTGTACATAAATATACTTTATATTTAGGAGTTGGATAATATTCCCCCCTATTGTACATAAATATACTTTATATTTAGGAGATGGATAATGAAACTATCCCCCCCTAACATATTGTACATAAATATACTTTATATTTAGGAGATGGATAATGAAACACATTTCAAGGATACATTTAGAGTTTTCAGTAAAGATGAAGAAGGTAGACGTTTGTAATGATTTCCAAACATGAGGCCCCCTTCATATCAGGTCCAACTGCTCGAGTCCCACAACCTTGTAATTCAGTAAATACATCTCAAAATTAATTCTTATGTAAAACATACCCCCAGGTCAGCAATTATGTTTAGTCATTTTTTAAGCCAGGCACTGCGATCACAATCAAATTATTAACTGATTGGATTGAATGAATTCCTCTCACCCCGAACTAAGCTTTTGAAAAAGCTGAAAAAATATGTCCTCTCTATGGACAAAATTAACTTGTATCATGTCATTGTTATATAACATGTTGAATACATCTGAATATACCTAATTATGAATAATTACATAATTTATTCATTTAGAAGAGACAGTTTTCATATAATTTTGTAAACTACCACGTCACAAAATAATAATAAAAAATAAAAATAAAATGATGTATCAAAGCGGTTCAAACATGGGTTTTACAAATTCGTATTTAAATGTTTATTCGTTGTTTAAAATATTTCGCATTTAAAGGGAGTGTTCGCGAAAAATGAAAGGGGGTATAGGCTTACTGCGATAAAAAAGCGCTTTTGATCGCCACTAATCTTACTTCTATCTGTTGCGTCTATAAGGAGAAAATTGTTAAAGACGTCTCATACCGAATAAAATGGCGTTCATACAAATTGAGAAAATTGCAACATACGACTTAGACCGTAAAAAATCAATTTAATTTCAAACAAATCATTCAGATATTACAACCTATAGTCATCGATTATCTTTCGCCACATTGATATATAGTTGATTTTTCATAATATGTTTTAATTGTTATGATCTGAGGGTTACTTATAAAAACATTTATTCCTGTTTTGAGGATTTTTGGTAATGAAGACGACATTTTCATATTTTCCAGGAATGTTCGAAAACAAGTTGTAAGGTAAATATTATTTTAAAAAACAAAATCAAAACTAGTATAAAATATTAAATATATACAAATGTGGCGAATGATAATCGATGACTATAGGTTGTAATATCTGAATGATTTGTTTGAAAATAATTTGATTTTTTTACGGTCTAAGTCGTATGTTCCAACTTCCTCAATTTGTATGGGCGCTACGCTCTTCGGTATAAGACGTCTTTATCAATTTTCTCCTTACAGACGCAACAGACAGAAGTAAGATTAGTAGCGATCAAAAGCGCTTTTTTATCGCATTAATCCTTACCCCCTTTCATTTTTAGCGAACACTCCCTTTGAAGTAAAAAAATAATCATGAAATATCAACTATATTATAAAAAAGGTTTTGAATTAAATTCATCATACTATTTCTTATTTTTATGATTATTTTTAAATTTAATTGATTTTTTTAAGATCTGAGTGAAATAATGCAAATACGTGAATTTGTTTGGGTCCTACGATGTAGATAAAATTAAACATATATTTCTAATTCTTATATTTAAGGTTGTATACCGGCAGAAGAAATGAAGTTTGTTCTTAAACATTTGCCAGGGAAGGTTACATACAAGGCAGGGACATACTTAAAGTATATATTATCATTAACATACTCTTTAGACTACAGTGAGCATTAGTTTTTGTACCAAAGCAAAAAGCTTTACTTGTAGGTTATTAAATCACTTATTAAGTGAAATTGGTCTGTTTACACTGCACACTATACCTCATGTTCATTGGACTATTTAAAGTCATAATTGAGCCTAAAAGTCGACTTCCTATTCCAGAGTTTTCTGGATCTCCCTGTATACACTTTACTTAAACATTCAAAAGTTGATAGTTACGTTTAATCATTTTATTTATAATTTATTGTAAGAATTACGTTTTACACTTTTTTCGAGTAAATTCCACTCTAATATAAATTCTATTCTCTTTGATTGTGGATTATACTCAAAAACGGGAAAATGGGGTTTGTCTTGAAAACGCAACAATGTTTCAAATTTAGGATATGTTCCAAAATGGAAAACCTGACATTGTCTTGAAAACGGTCAAGAGCTTTAATATAAAAAGAACTCCTATTATAATATTGATTAAAACAAATTTTAAATTAGGAATTGTTGTCCTCGTCATGTTTAATAAAATGTTGTTTATAGTTTTTACTATCGACTTTTACACTGGATATGAGCCAGGATCTCAAAAACCCAGTCTTTCATTTTCTAACACTCAGTGTTAGAAATGGGCCAAGTGTTAGTTTTGGAACTAATGTCCCCTGAATTATAGAGGCCGTGAGGATTTACTCTAATGAAACTTAGATATAACTTATTCCTTATAACTTATTATTATATTTTCACTAAGAGAAGCTTGATAATATTGTTTATATATCACACGAGATTACTATATGAGTCTTATAACTTATTATTATATTTTCACTAAGAGAAGCTTGATAAGATTGTTTATATATCACACGAGATTACTATATGAGTCTTATAACTTATTATTATATTTTCACTAAGAGAAGCTTGATAAGATTGTTTATATATCACACAAGATTACTA